TCCCCCTCAAATTTTGATATTTTTGCCCAAAATTGACATTTTTGGGTCATTTTAAGTCAAAAATCACCATTTTGGATCATTTTTACCCAAAAATCGCCATTTTGGGTCATTTTTTCCCCAAAATCACCATTTTTGGGTCATTTTTGCCCAAAAATTCACATTTTTGGGTGATTTTTGTCCAAAAATCGCCATTTTTGGGTCTTTTTTGCCCAAAAATCACCATTTTGGATAATTTTTACCCAAAAATCGACATTTTCAGTCCTTTTTCCCCTCATTTTGGCTCCTTTTTTACCTCAAAATTGACATTTTTGGGTCATTTTTAATCAAAAATCTCCATTTTTGGATCATTTTTGCCCAAAAATCGACATTTTTTTGTCCTTTTTTTTCCCTCAAATTTTGATATTTTTGCCCAAAATTGACATTTTTGGGTCATTTTTACCCAAAAATTGACATTTTGGGTCATTTTTACCCAAAAATCGCCATTTTGGCCCATTTTTACCCAAAAATCACCATTTTGGTTCATTTTTGTCCAAAAATCACCATTTTGGGTCATTTTTACCCAAAAATCGCCATTTTGGGTCATTTTTTCTCAAAAATTGCCATTTGGGGTTTTTTTTACCCAAAAATCGCCATTTTTTGATCATTTTTGCCAAAAATTCACATTTTTGGGTCATTTTTAATCAAAAATCGCCATTTTGGCCCATTTTTACCCCAAAATCACCATTTTGGGTCATTTTTGTCCAAAAATCGCCATTTTGGGTCATTTTTTTCTCAAAAATTGCCATTTTGGGTCATTTTTGCCCAAAAATCGCCATTTTTGGGTCATTTTTACCAAAAAATTCACATTTTTGGGTCATTTTTGCCTAAAAATCGCCATTTTTGGGTCATTTTTACCCCAAAATCGCCATTTTGGATCATTTTTGCTCAAAAATCACCATTTTGGGTCATTTTTCCCCAAAAATCGCCATTTTTGGGTCTTTTTTGCCCAAAAATCACCATTTTGGATCATTTTTACCCAAAAATCGACATTTTCAGTCCTTTTTCCCCTCATTTTGGCTCCTTTTTTACCTCAAAATTGACATTTTTGGGTCATTTTTAAACAAAAATCTACATTTTTGGATCATTTTTGCCCAAAAATCGCCATTTTTTGGGTCATTCTTGCCCAAAAATCGACATTTTTTTGTCCTTTTTTTTTCCCTCAAATTTTGATATTTTTGCCCAAAATTGACATTTTTGGGTCATTTTACCCAAAAATCTCCATTTTGGATCATTTTTGCCCAAAAATCGCCATTTTTGGGTCATTTTTGCCAAAAATTCACATTTTTGGGTCATTTTTAATCAAAAATCACCATTTTGGCCCATTTTTACCCAAAAATCACCATTTTGGTTCATTTCTGTCCAAAAATCGCCATTTTGGGTCATTTTTACCAAAAAATTCACATTTTTGGGTAATTTTTACCTAAAAATCGCCATTTTTGGGTCATTTTTACCCAAAAATCACCATTTTTGGATCACTTCTGCCCAAAAATCGCCATTTTGGGTCATTTTTGCCCAAAAATCGACATTTTTGGATCATTTTTGCCAAAAATTCACATTTTTGGATCACTTTTGCCCAAAAATCGCCATTTTGGGTCATTTTTACCCAAAAATCGCCATTTTGGGTCATTTTTACCCAAAAATCACCATTTTGGATCATTTTTACCCAAAAATCGCCATTTTGGGTCATTTTTGCCCAAAAATCACCATTTTTGGTCATTTTTTCTCAAAAATTGCCATTTTGGGTCATTTTTGTCCAAAAATCGCCATTTGGGGTCATTTTTTCTCAAAAATCGCCATTTTGGGTCATTTTTGCCCAAAAATCACCATTTTGGGGCCTTTTTTTCTCACGGGAAGATTTTTGGGGTCAAAACCGGCGGTTTTGGGTCCAAACCCCCAAAATGAGTCATTTCCTCCAAAAACACCCAAAAAAGGGGAAACGAAACCAAAAATCGACCCAAAAACGGGATTTTTTGGGGTCAAAAAGGGGAAGTTTTCGAGGGGAGAAAAAAAACAACTTTTTGGGGTGATTTGGGTGGTTTTGGTGGGTTTTTATTTCGCTCCAAAATCGACATTTTTAGGCTGAAAAATTCGATTTTTGGGTCTAAAAAAAATATCAATTTTTAAGGGGAATTTTGGCTCAAAAATCGATTTTTTGGGGTTTTTTTTTGCTCCAAAATCCTCCTTTTTTGGGGTCATTTTTGCTCCAAAAAAATCGACTTTTCGGGGTAATTTTTTGCCCCTTTTTGCCCGTTTTTGGTTAAAAAAAAATCGACTTTTTTGGGGTCTTTTTGCGCCAAAAAATTCGACTTTTCTGGGTTATTTTTGCTCCAAAAAAATTCAATTTTGGCTCCAAAAAAAAGGACTTTTTGGGGTCATTTTTGGGACCTTTTTACCCCCCAAAAAATGGACATTTTGGGTCAATTTGAATTTGGAAATAAATTTTCTAAAATATCAAAATAAATAAAAATATAAAAATAAATAAAAATAAAATAAATTTTATTTTTAAAATAAAAAACAAATTAAAAAAAACGCTTTTAAAAAATTGGTTTATTTTTTTTATTTAAGGATTATTAATTACATAATAATATATATTTTAATTATTTTAATTCTTTTATTTAATTATCGAAATAAACCCTTAATCAGCCATTTTATATTTCTAATTAATAAATAATTCCCAATCTATAACATTTCTGCATTATTATTTCTCTATTATTATTATTATTATTATTAGGAATCAAAAAAAATCAATTTTAATTTCTCTTTTTTCCATTTTTAAATTTTAATTTTAATTTTAATTTATTCGATTTGATTTTCCTTCTATTTAAAATAATTCCAAATTTATTTGAAAGCGATTTTCTTCGATTTTAATTTTGTTTTATTTAGAATTTCCGCCGCAATTTTATTTAATTTATTTTTATGATTTCGGTAAATTCGCATAAATTTGCATAAATCTGCATAAATTTGCATAAATCTGCCTAAGTCGTAGAAAATTCTCCGAAATCACAAATTCCACGAATTGGCACAAAATGGGGGCAAATCCCCTCAAATTCTGATAAACCGATCCCAAATTTACCAATTTCACTCTTAGTTTGCATAAATTTGCATAAATCTGCATAAATTTGCATAGATTCGAGGGAAAATAGCGGAGATTCACCCAAATTTGACCGAATCCATATGAAATCCACCCAAATTGGCAGAAATCACTCCAAAGTGCTCCAAAATTCCAGTCAATTTGCATAACTTTGCATAATCTGCATAAATTTGCATAAAGTCATCCCGAGTCCCTCAAATAGCGTGGATTTGCCCAAATTTAACTAAATCTAATCGAAATCTTCACAAATTTGCATAAATTCAAGGAAATGGCTCCGAAATTCTCGTAAATTCGCATATTTTGGCCCAAATTTGCATAAATTTGCATAAAGTCATCCCAGGTCCCTCAAATAGCGTGGATTTGCCCAAATTTAACTAAATCACATCGAAATCTTCACAAATTTGCATAAATTCAAGGAAATGGCTCGAAAATTATCGTAAATTCGCATATTTGGCCCAAATTTGCATAAATTTGCATAAATTTGCATAGAGTCATCCCGAGTCCCTTAAATAGCGTAGATTTGCCCAAATTTACCTAAATCACATCGAAATCTTCACAAATTTGCATAAATGGCTCAAAATTCACGGAAATTCTCGTAAATTCGCATATTTGGGCCTAAATGGCATAAATTTGCATAACTTTGCATAATCTGCATAAATCTGCATAAAATCGTCCCGATTTGCCCAAATTTAACTCAATCAAATCGAAATCTTCACAAATTTGCATAAACGGCTCGAAATTCACGGAAATGGCTCCGAAAGTCTCGCAAACTCGCATATTTTTGGCCGATTTTGCATAAATTTGCATAAATCTGCATAATTTAGGGTTTTTGGGGGGCCACTTTCAGGAGGGTGACCCCGGCCCCGTAGCAGAGGACGTAGCTGAGGACGAAGAGGAGGGCGAAGGTCACGGTGGGCCAAAGGTCGGCCCCGCCCTCGTCCGGCGCTTCCGGCGGCGCCGCCGGCGACGTCACCAAAACGCAACTCACCGAACCTGGAGGGGAAGGGGAGGAAAAAATGGGGCATTTTTGGTCAAAGTGGTGATTTTTAGCCACTGACAGTCGATTTTCCTCATTTTTTGCCCATTTTTGCCCATTTTTCCCCGTTTTTTGCCCATTTTTACCCTTTTTTTACCCATTTTTCCACCATTTTTTTTACCCCATTTTTGACCCATTTTAGGCCCGTTTTGACTCGTTTTTCACCCTTTTTTTTTTT